CCAGAGCCAGCCTGAGCACGTTCTTCGGGGAGACCGCCAGCGCCAGCTCCCTGGCCTCGGACTTCTTTGATTCCTTCACCACCTCCGCGTTCATTTCCGTCAGTAACCCCCACGCCGGCACGGCGGTTCCCGGGCAGTTGTCTCCACTCGCCTCCCCGGGGACGGAGAGCTCAGAGCCAGCTGTGCCCACGGCCTTGCAGGAAACCCCTCCGTCCCCGAAGCCCTTCTCCCAGATCCAGGCCGTGTTCGCAGGGAGCGAGGACCCCTTCGCCACCGCCCTGAGCATGAGCGAGATGGACCGCAGGAGCGACGCCTGGCTGCCCGGGGAGGCGACCAGGGAGGTCCTGGTGTCAGTGGCCACGCAGCAGTACCGCACCGTGTTCGTCGACAAGGAGAACCTCACCATGCCGGGCCTCAAGTTCGACAACATCCAGGTGAGGCCGGCACCTCCAGGGAAGAGGCAACGCTCGCAGGTGATCTCCTCCATGAAGTAGGTCATTCTGTCCACACCTCAGTCCCCGGCTGCTTGTTGCTTATATACATGTATACCTTTTATATACATTTACTATATACGTGCGTATAATACCTTCTATACACATAGGTGCTATGTACAAGTAGAATACCTTTTATACACAGAGATGCTGTGTACAAGTATAATACCTTTTATACACAGAGATGCTATATACAAGTATAATACCTTTTATACACAGAGATGCTATATACAAGTAGAATACCTTCTATGCACAGAGATGCTGTGTATAAGTATAATACCTTTTATACACATAGATGCTGTGTACAAGTATAATACCTTTTATACACATAGATGCTATATACAAGTAGAATACTTTCTATACACAGAGATGCTGTGTACAAGTAGAATACCTTCTATACACATAGATGCTATATACAAGTAGAATACTTTCTATACACAGAGATGCTGTGTACAAGTAGAATACCTTCTATACACATAGATGCTATATACAAGTAGAATACTTTCTATACACAGAGATGCTGTGTACAAGTAGAATACCTTCTATACACATAGATGCTATATACAAGTAGAATACTTTCTATACACAGAGATGCTGTGTACAAGTAGAATACCTTCTATACACATAGATGCTATATACAAGTAGAATACTTTCTATACACAGAGATGCTGTGTACAAGTAGAATACCTTCTATACACATAGATGCTATATACAAGTAGAATACTTTCTATACACAGAGATGCTGTGTACAAGTAGAATACCTTCTATACACATAGATGCTATATACAAGTAGAATACTTTCTATACACAGAGATGCTGTGTACAAGTAGAATACCTTCTATACACATAGATGCTATATACAAGTAGAATACTTTCTATACACAGAGATGCTGTGTACAAGTAGAATACCTTCTATACACATAGATGCTATATACAAGTAGAATACTTTCTATACACAGAGATGCTGTGTACAAGTAGAATACCTTCTATACACATAGATGCTATATACAAGTAGTACCTTTTATACGCATATGCCACACATAAGTGAATACCTTTCAAGCATTGGAAAGTCCTGTTTTTAGGAGTCCTAAGATTCTGATTGTGAGGGTCCGTGTTATGTCACTGGGTGATTCGGGCCCTGTTGATGTGCCTGATGTAATTTAAGGAAATAGTCCTGGTCTTAGGGGTGACTTCAGCGAGGGAGCTGGTTACCTCGCAGTTCGCAGAAGTGGCTCCAGACTTGGTGTGACCGGCTTCTTGGTGACATCTGGGCTGCAGCACAGGATAAGTCTCCCACCCACTTTGTTTTTAAACAGGCTTCATTCCCTTGGTTTTTCTTGAATCAGTTGTGCTGGCCACAGCTGGAGCCGGGGTTCTCTGCTCAGAGACGCTGGGCCTTTACGAGATGGTCGGGTGTTTGTGTTGTGTCTGATGTGCTCGAGTGGACAAAGCTCTCGCAGACTCAACAAGGAGATAGGAGTGCCCCCAATAATCATCATAAAAACAGAAACGTCATGTGTGCGAGTAGCAGTGTCAGCTCAGTCCGCTGGAGGATAAAACCATTCCCCTTCCCTGATCTACTTCCTCCCTATGCTGTGCTGGTAGAGTGGGAAGCAGCCTGTCTCGGGCAGCCCTGATGGGACCATAACTTGGTACAAACGTTTTAAAATAAAGTTTTAAAAACTGCCCCGGAATCCGCTCTTGGGAATTTGTCATCAGGAAGAAGTCTCACCCTGTGCCCTGGAAGGCTGCGGTCCGACCCGTCAGGGCACGTGTGGGAGGCACCCATCGACGTATCTCTGGCTCATCAACGTCTTCTCTCTCTCAAATCAATCTTCCTAAAAAAGGAGGAGGTAGTCTCGCTAGTTGCAGATGCCCAGCGTTGGGATGTCTGCAGAGAACCGAGCAACCCACAGCCCACAATCGGGAGGCAGCTGAGAGCACTGGCTCCCCTCTCTCTACCCTGGGGCGTGTCGCATACACGTGATGTCACGTAGCTGTTTACTGAGCGGCGCATTTTATTGGTAGATTGGAAAACCAGATAGGAGATAGCGCGCAGTGAGCACCTCCTTCCCTGCCCCGAGGTGGCCCGTGGCCTGCGCCCTGTCTCTCCCCTCCCGCCCTCCTCGGGGAGCTCCCTTCACATTGGGGTCTGGCCTCCAGCACCTGCTTTCTAACGCCTGCTGTTTGCAGGTCTCCCCCCC